AGAGACTTAACATGCGTGCAGGTCTTATAAAAGTCCTCGTTAAATCAATTTACGCAGTAAGCAATGTGTATGTATATATAGATATATATAGATATATCTATATATATCTATATATCTATATATAGATATATAGATATATATATATCTGTGTGTGTGTGTGTGTGTGTGTGTGTGTGTAGCTCTACTGGGCAGCTTTACAAAACATTAGAGGAGCTTAACAGAGGAGGCAAACTCTCCCTCTGTCCCTCTGACCCATATTACAGCACATTAAACACACTTAAACATCCCCCCTTCCCTCTCTCTCTCTCTCTCTCTCTGTCTCTCTCTCTCTCCCTGCCTCTTTCTATCTCTATCTCTCCCTGTAAGACACGTACACATCCAGTGTGTAACTTATCTCAGGCTATCAGGCCTGGAAACACAGACTACAGCTTTGACCTTTGGCACTGACATTTTGCAAGTGAAGGAGAGCTCTCACTGGAGCAGCCTCACATTACGTCGCTTTGCATTTCCTCGAGATCTCGGTGCCGTATGAGCAGCCAAGTCTGGAGGTCTGCGAGACATAGTATGCTACGTACACACACATGCACACTCAGGTCAGGAATTGCTGGAACAAAGAGAGCTAGTAAATGGGCATGTAAATTATAGATGGAGAGAGATGTGGCTATAGAGCCGAACAGAAAGATCTTAAGGGTGAGCTGTGTTGACATGCACACGCACGCACACACATTTGAAAGGCTACAACGTAGTGCTTGTTACCAATAGAGCGGTGTTATAGACAACCATAAATGGATCCCAGTCTTCTCCTCTCAAGATCATAAATCCAAATAAGCACCTCCTGTAGCGGGCCAATCCTATCTCCTATACTGTAATTGTGATGATTTAGAGCGTGTTTACCATCCAAGTATGAGCACAGTTCATCTAAGTGATCATTATTTGATGCAATCCAAATCCATCACTCGTTGTTTAGGGAGCAAATGACAAAGCGAGGCCATTAAAATTCATAAAGAGCGTGCCATAAACTTTCTGACACATTTTCAGTGACTTCAGCAGAATGCTTACAGTGCAGCAGAATATTTGAGCTTCAGTGCACGAGACTGACTCATCCTGAGAGCCGCTTTTCATTTGACTGCTACAGAAGAGGAGTCCTAACGCTATCAGGCAGGTTTAGAGTTTAGAAGAGGGCCGTTCAGAAACACCCCTGCCGACTTCCCCTCATGACTCTTATCTCTTCAAGCACATTTCCTAAAGCCTTCACTTAAATCGATTTTGAAGACGACTGCATTTTATAGAATGAGATGTATCGTGCTCTTTTCTTTGCTGTTCCCCCCGTGGCTATAGTCGACAGCCGCACAGCAATATCGTAACAATTTAGGTTTTAACTTTTAACTTTGTTTAAACTCCTGCAGCTACAGATTGTGTATGGCCAAGTACACGTATTGTGTATCAGAGTGATGTTACACTCCCAATAACATAGTTACTACTGCACATGCAGGTCAGAAATCAGTTGGACTGTGATATGATACAGGAAAATATAATCTCTCAGCACTTTATCAGGAACACCATACTAATACTGGGTAGGGTCCTCCAGTTGCTCTAAAACAGCCTCGGTCCTTCACGGCCGCAAGATGTCGGAAACTTCTGCTCCATGTTGACATGATTGAATCACATCATTTGTGCAAATTTGTCAGCTGCACGTTCACGCTGCCAAACTGGTTTGAGAGACTTTTGCTTTGTGACACGGAGCATTATCCTGCTGTATGTAGCCGTTAAGAGGTGGTAAACTGTGGCCATAAAGGGATGCACATGGTCGGCAACAACACTCAGATAGCCTGCGGCATTCAAAACAATGATTGATTGGTATTAAGGGGCCTAATGTGAGCCAAGAAAACATTCCCCAAACCATTACACCACCACCAGCCTGGACTGTCGACACAAGGCAGGTTCATGGATTCATGCTGTTGATGCCAAAGTCTGACCCCGCCATCTGTGTGCCTCAGCAGAAATCCAGATTCATCACACCAGGCTAGGTTTTTTTTCCAGTCTTCAACCTGACGTGAACCTCAGGGCCCAACGTGTTGTGCATTCTGAGACGCTCACCATCGCTGTAAAGAGTGGTTATCTGAGTTACTGTAGCCTTTCTGTCAGCTCCAACCAATCGGGTCATTCTCCTCTGACCTTTGTTATTAACGAGGTGTTCCCATCCACAGAACGGCTGCTCACTAGATGTTTCTTGCACCATTCTGAGCGAACTCTACAGTCCACGTCGAAGCAACTGAGATCCAGATTCATCACATTCTGATGTTTGATGTGAAACATTAACTGAAGCTCCTGACCTGTACCTGCAGGATTTCATGCACTGCACTGCTGCAACATGATTGGCTGACTGGATAACTGAATGAATAAGCAGGTGTGATAAAAGTGCTCAGCGAGTGTCTCCGGACCACAATCAGCACGGATATTTAAAATCGGGTCCCGGTTGGGTGCCACTTCCTGATTAAAGTAAAACAACATTCAGAATAAACTCGACTGTTACTCATTGTTAACTGTCTAATTCATCTGAATTCACTCCACATACAGCACCTTCGCAGGGACTTCCTTTATAGCTCTGGGTAATGATCCTATCTAGCAGGCAGAGACGTAAAAGCTTTTTTATTATCAAAATACCAATAACTAGACCTGATACAGCTCATTAATCTGTGTCCGTCCACGGCCCTCGCTCTTCAGTGGTTTTGGTCTCTTTCAACATCAAACATTCCGCACGGCCAAGCATGCAGTGAACATTTAATTGATGCGGATTGTTTGCCTTCGTGGCCTGATTATTCAGCACTTCAGGTAGTTGTACCAATAAACGAGTCTCAGGCAAGATACTACTTCAAGGTAGACAGTCTGTCAACATGAGTGGCAAGTACTGGGGTAGGAACCCCGTCGAGTGAGGCTGAGGGAGGAGGGGCTGATAATAAATTGCCTGTCTCAAGGCCAAACGATTAGTGGTGAATCTTGAGAGTTTTAAAAGTGTCTTTTTTTTTTTCTACTTTACTAACATAGACAGAAAACGGCTTCATATCATTTGTGTAAGAGAGATAAAAGAGCGCAGCACAGGAGAGGTGTTTCTGACTGCTCCTTGTAGTTTCACACCCTGAGACACAAACTCTTATTGTCAGTGCTTTCTCATCTCATTTTGGAATTAAAACCTGTTGTCCTGCAGAGAACAGACAACCACAAATAAGCAGTTGTGTATAAAATAAACATTTCCTGAGTGTAGCAGGCCCCTCACCCCAATTATCCCTTCCAAGCATGAGCTAGCAAGATATTTCTCTTTGTAATCCGTCTCCGCAGACATTCAGATCAGACTGTAAACATTTGCACACAGAGCTTAGTACAGATTTGGAAAGCTGCGTTGTCAAAAAATTATGACAGCAGTTTCTTTTTCTTTTTTGGAGGAGGAATTTTGATAATAATCCCCATTTGGACCGCTTGTTGGAACCAACAGGAGTTTGGCATCTCACCACGCAGTTGGAGCAATTTTTTTCTCTGCAGGTTCTGGAGTAGCCTGGAACTTCTCTGTGAGTCTAGAACTGCTGTACTTAACCCTAAAATCCAGCCACTGTCAGGGGAGCCGAGAGTAAAGCTTGAGATTGTCTCAGTGGTTTACTGCAGCACGTACCAAGTGTGAATGATCTCTGGCAATTGTCCAAACTCTGTCTCATGTTCTCCTGTTTGATATCAGTGTCTGTTTAATTTGACATCTCTCAGGATTAACACTGTTGCAGAAATAAACCATGGAGGAGGAGGTTAAATTGCATGATGTATTCACAATATATTTTGAACTGGAAACAATAATAAAATTCACTGTGGTGGGCGGGGTCACGAGGTGAAGCTGTAGATGGGTTTCAGTTAAAAGGAAAGTTTTTTAAATGATGAAATCTGACCCTTCTGCATCAGCCCATTTCATAAAAACCTTCACCTGTATGCAGATTCTGTTTTGCTTCGTCCCTAATCTCTTTTCCATTATGGAAGGAGGGTGCTGTTTTTTTTGTTTTTTTTCGAGCACTAATCAGTGGTTGCACAGAGAAAGGAGCCCAATGTGTTTGATGATAATTAAGATCTGAAGAGTGATTGTTGCAGTGCTGATGAGCTCCTCCACACACATGAGCAATCAGTGGTGTTTGTGTATCAAACAAACAATACTTACAATACATAACTGTTTTTTAGGAGTGCCTACATGAATTTTTATATTTTGTCAACTTTCACTTTTACTCCGCTGCATTTCCTGAATAAAATGTGAAACTTTTTACTCCGATACGTTTCCCCTAAGCATCTTCATGACTTTGTTCCTTCAAAATAAAATAGGAAGGAATTTGGTAGCCTGATGATGTTGGACTTCAGCTCAAGAAGAGCGAGACTGAATTCTCGTAGTTTTGAAAACCAAATTCTGTTGAAAATGAACGGCAAATGTTTTCAATTTAAAGTAATGACTGAGTTGTTACTGTAGGGAAGGAAGGGAGGAGGGAGAGAGGAAGGGAAGGGGGAATCTCTCTCTCACCCCCAACTTTCCTGTCTCTCTCTCTTACTGCTACTTTAATAAAGGCATAAAAAAGCCCCAAAAAAATAACTTGGGAGAGATGTGCTCCATTTTTAAGATAGTGCTTGCTTTTTTATTAGCAGCATTTATTTGTACTATTACTTTCATTACTTATATTTAATATCAGGAAATTACTTTTTATACTCAAGTACTGGAAATATCAGATACTTTAAGACTTTTACTCAAGTAACATTCTAAAAACCAGAGTCGTTTTCTGGTAAGATACAGTATCTGTACTTTTACTTATTTCTGGCTTTCAGGAATTTCATCCCTCCCACTGTGAGCAATAAGCCTCATTGTTGCTTAGTCAGAGGGATGTGGGTGAGGGAGGGTGAGCGTGTTTAGGCATCACATTAATATTCGGTCCAGAGTGGTGAGACAGAAAAGAAGACAGAAAGTAAAAGAAAGAAAGACTCACTGCCGCCTCGTCCTCCCTGCTGTCGCTGGTGTCCTCACTCTTGTGGTGGCCGGCTGAGGAGCGAGTGTCCCTCTTACGGCTGGCGTCCGTCCCCTCCGTCTGTCTCTCTCCATCTGGGCCAAGGTGAAAACATGGACACGGGTCGGAAAGCCAGCAAGCACCATCATCATCACCACAGTCATCATCATCCTCATCTCCATTTTAATCATCGTTAACAGCATCATTGTCATTCCGATCGCTATCATTATCATCATCATCACCGATAGCATAATTATAATTATGAATATCTTCATTATTATCCATCGTCAACGTGGTCAACAATAATTGCGAGCTATCACTCACTTTCCTTCCTACTGAGCCTCTCAACTGTAATCAAACCCAGATAAAACTTTCCACAGAAAAGAAGATTAAGTGGAAAAAAAATGTAACTAGAAAAGTGAAAAGAGACAAGAGAGAATAATAAGAGCCAGTCCAGAGGGGAAATGTGAAGAGGGGGGGGGGTGAAAATGGAAGAAAAAAATAAAAAAGAGGAAGAGATTGAGAAATGGAGAGACATAAAGAATAGCTTTTCTTGCTGTGGAGTGGAGCTGTTAGGATGCTGTCATGCCACAGATGGATTATGGGACTTTTGCTGCACAATGATGACAGTTGCCTTGGCCGGGAGAGAACAACCGGAATTTAAATCCACTCATTACGAGTGTGTGTGTTTATGCGTGTGTGTGTGTTTGTGGGTCCGTCACAGAGCATATGGTCAAAACTGCCAAATCTCTTTGTGCTGCCTGCAAAACACAACGCACATACATACACACACGCACACAGTGTCATGGACGATCAAACCTGAGCACAATTCAGTACAGAGCAGTACGGGATATTCAACACTTTATGAGAGCCAGGTTATTTGGAGTTACAAGGACTGAATGGATACTCATAAAGTTTCCTATAAGGGTTTCTGCCTCTACAAGTAGTTCATATAAAAAAGGGAATCCATACCCTATTCACTCCAATTTCTTTTTATTTGTATTGTACTGCATTCGATCCCATTTGGCTGACATGGTTCATGAATGCACAACATTGCTGCAGCTCAGATGGGCTGCCATAAAAGGTGGCGCCTGTGCCATTGACTCCCCTATAAAAAGCTGGGGAGTGGGTGAATTTTTCGGTGTCCCAAATGCATTACAGAGAAAGTGGTTCATTACTGTGGGGTGGCTGTAGTGTATGCACATGCATACAGCCACAGCCACACACACACACACACACACACACATACACACACACACACACACGAGGGGATGGATTGTGATTAAAAGAGAGAGGGGAGAACGGGTGGCTATAAAGCATAATGAGTACTAATGGTTTTCCAATATGTCCCCTTAACAATGAGTCTGAGTGGGCTGAATTAGATGGGGGGCTTTGGGGTAAGTTGTGTGTGCATGCGCGCGTGTGTGTGTGTGTGTTTGTGTGTGTGTGTGTGTGTGTGTGTCGGGGTGGAGCTGCTGGGAGGCTGATGTGGTCAAGGAGGAGAGAAAAAGGCAGATGGTCGTACAGTGCATGCTCACATTCATGTACAGAGACAGAGCAAAAAAAAAGAGAGGAGACGGCTGACCGACTGCGAGAGACAATCAAAGTCGAAAATAGAAATAAAATGTGGCAAAAGTTAAAGTTCTTCTCTTGTACAACTTGTACTGCCTCTCATGAAAGTCTCCAGCAAACATAATCTGTGTAGATGATCTGTTTTCCTCTTTTGTTTGGATATCCTCTCGCCTGTCTCCCTCTATTCCCTCTGCAATTCCACTGATTCCAGACAACTGTAGTAAGAATCTGCTTTGATCTGAAAAATCATCTCCTTTTGCTGAATAACTGAAACAGAGGAGAAACTTGCCGTGTTCATAATGCATTCCCCTTCAAACAGTTTCCCCCGTCTTTTCTCTCCCCTTGTGTGAGTTTATATTGTGTTGTATGTTTTCTGCACTGAAAAGGTCGAGACATAAACATAAGACCACACAATGGAAGGTGAGGAAGCTTTCCATTATCATTTGAGCCACAGGAACCGCGCTGTGAAAGCCGCCAGCCCGCCGTCCAACTTGACATGGACAGTCTAAGTACGGCCTGCGGGGTCTATCAAAGCACCACCAGATCAAAGAGCGAACACCAGAGAGTAGACGCGCTGAAACCTCGTCTCACTTCAAGCCCGACTTTCCTGCCATTGTTGAGCCAAAAATAGCTGGACACTTCAACTTCAAAGTTTTGATCTCAGTGTACAACTAAAGCCTCCTTTGTCAAAAGTTCTAAATGTAGGTTTTAGCTGTGTGTCTTAGTAGAAATGCCTCAGGATGCTCCAGTCTTTTCATTTCATTTCCAACAAAGAATATGACATGGCAAATAGAATAAAGCAAATTACCTAAAAGCAGCCCCAATGGAAAATAAATAGTAAATTCATTTCTTTATGCAATACAATTTATCTTATGCTTCATTGTGCTGTTTATTTTCGTTCTTCCTCTGCGTACACACCGCATGAGTCACTGCATGAGTCAACTGGCAGCACATCTCCCTTTAACCATTTATCTGAGACTATTACGAGCAGGCAATGCACCAGGGAGCGAGGTGAGATTCCCCTTTGCCCGGCCTCATTTATGTAAGTGATCACCTTAAATATGATTGAGCACGCAGAACACAAAAACATCACATCAGTCCCACTTGGAAATGAAATGAGTGATAAGTTCGAACCCCGAAATGGTGAAACCGACACTGAAATTTGTGCTGAAAATAACCTGTGAATAATATATGTTTTGAGTTGTTTATCATATAAAAAGGGACCTTGGAGATTTAAAAAAAAAAAAGAAAGAAAAAAAGAGTATCTTCACATATGCATCATAAGCTGACCGCAATATAATGTGATTCGCATGTCAAGGAAATATTCAAGTATTCAAGCTTTCTGTAATGTCATAAATAGAGACAAGACTGAGGGAGAGACAAAGAAAATCACCTCTGGAAACATCAGCCACATGTCAGAAAGCTGTCGACCAACATTAGGAAGAAAACTTCAACAAAGAACTCACTTTCAAATCATTTCTCTTCCTTTTTAGGTCCCTCAAGCATCATCTTTTGAAGTGTGAAGAGAATAATTTTTGACTGAACTTCTTTCCTGACAAAAAAAAAAAAAAAAGTTCTTAAGCGCTAAAAGTACTATATGCTTCTCTGTAGCCTATGCAGAGCCAGAGAACAGTTATCAATTAAAAAAATTAGGTGAAGTGCACCGTGGAAATACCTTCCTGCCGGTACTTACATCATCACAGTTACCTTTAAATCATTAGTCAACCTTTAGGAAAGAGTCACTTTATATGAATAAATGTCAGTAAAATGTAAAAAGAACATTCACTGCTAATATATTCTTCTAATATCTCCCCAAAAGGAGCAGATAATGAGAACTGCAAAGCACTTTGTGTGTGTGTTGTGTGTGTGTGTGTGTGTGTGTGTGTGTGTGTGTGTGTGTGTGTGTGTGTGTGTGTGTGTGTGTGTGTGTGTGTGTGTGTGTGTGTGCGCAACACAACATTTGTGGTCAAATGTTCAAACATCCTTTGCCAACATATCCCTCAGCACTCTTGAAAAAATAGGTTTGTGTTTGTGTGTGAGTGTATGAGTGTGTGAGTCCCAACTAAATGTATGCATCAAGTGTGGATACTGAAAGCTGCCGTGCCGCAATGAGAATGAGTCATAAATAATGTTCAGGGAGCAGTTTGATGAAGAAATGGTATTGTGGTGGCGAATCAGTCGTACACGCCATGAGGATGGAACCGTTGTTCTCCTAAGCCACCAGCATGCAGTGTCACCATGCACTCACATGTGGACTACGATGCAGCGTGCAGCAGCCGCCAGGCGAGCTCAATCTGACCCCCGTGGGGAGCTGCAGCGAGGCAGGAATCAGTCCATGGACTGTGATGGGACTTCCTCAAACCTCCATGCTAGCTCTAATGAAGTAATGAAGAGCGGACTGGCAGGTTAATGGAAGCCAATAGACTACGCGCTCCACCACCAGCAGGAGACCAGGCGGAATACTAATGATTGAGGAGCCTCCTCTCTTATGTCTCTTATGCGTTATCTGTTCATATCCCCAAGTCCTAAAACAGCACAGCTATTTACTGTGCAGATAAGATAGCGGAGAGCAACTTCTGTAACCTCCAGAGGACACAGATAGTGACTGTTTTTTTGGAGTGTTTTGTAGATTAAGTCTGTGACAGAGTACATTAAAAAGCATTATAAACAGGAGTCGTATCCAAGGTTGATGTGGGTGGAATCTGTAGATAGAGACGGAGGCTGGGGGAAACTTAGCTTCCTCTACTTTTGAGTAGTGAGTAATAAGTTCCACCTTGCATGGCTGCTCTTTTAAAACTAATGATATTCTAAACTCGATAGCTTTCAGAGAACCGCGGCTGTCAGAGCTCGCGTCTCCGCTGTACGTGTGCCAATTTATACATATTTGTGTATACGATGTATGCATACGCGTGTGCGTGTTGTATGTCTGCGTCTTGTCTTATCTTTGAATAAGACTGACAACAACTGCTGGGTCTCACTGCGAGGCGCTGCTCCACTGTATGTTAAGTGATAGACAGAATGGTGATACAGCAGAATGCTAATGACAGAATCAAAGGAGTGAGTACAGCAACAGCTACAAGAACTGCAACGAAGGGCAGTTAGAAAAGAAAAGGCGAGAAAGCTGAACATTTAGGAAGAGATAAATAAAACCGAGGTGGTTAAGTAAGACGAGTTTAGTCTGAGCATACGCGACAACTCCCAGTCATAACAAATTAACTAATAGTAATCTGTTCGGGAGCCCTTAGGATCTGCTCCATCTAACAGCCCCTTCGGTAAACAGTGGGGAAAAAACAGCATACAGTCACACACAGCAGCTCACAGTGGTTGCAGAAAATGCCAACGGTCAATATCACAATTCATTTGCCAGTGTTATATATAGAAGGCAGCTCCCACATGGTCTCCTTTGAAAAGGCACAGTCAAGCACACTTAATACGCAACCTTAATGGAGGACTAACAGCAGATCACAAACACAAACAGGTATATTAAATATACACTTTACAAGTTACAAATACACAACAAAAT